GCACTCTAAATGCGACCAGCGGCGTCCACGCAGAGTATAGAAGAGAGAGTCCTGGAGGCGGGCAGACCTGGCTTAAGCCCTGTAAAAAGGGATGGTAGTCTGTTTAAACAGCTTTGGGCATTTCAAGGCTAAATAGAGTACCGTAGTCCCCAGAACCGTGCTGATGTCACTGTCGTCGTCATCCTGGCCTCTCCCACCTGTCCCTGCCTTGCCCCCCCCACCCCCCACACACACACTCCCAGAGCCCCCAGACTCGGTCTTCTCACCCCCCAGATTGATGTCAGCTACAATGTGCCAGACCCGGTGGCCAAGCCGTCCTTCCAGCTGTTCGTGAATCTCCAGGAGCCCGAGGCGGAGCGGCCCCGGCCCCCGGCACCAGCACCCTCAGCTGATGATGACGACCCAGCAGCCGACCTGCATCACCAGGAGTACCAGGTGACCCTGGAGGTGTGCACCAGGTGAGGCCTTCTGCCCTGTGCTTGTGTCAGTCCCAGCCCCTTGGCAGAGACGGTATTGGCTGCAAACACCAATGATTTGGGAGCCCAGTGGTGGCACCTGCCCTGACCTGGGCCCCCAGCCTGCCATTGTCGGAAAGAACCCACTATGTGTGCCATCTGGGTATGGGCTTGCTCAGGCCTGAATCCTCAGGGAGCCTCCCGACCCTCCCAGGGGTGGTGGCCACCCTGTCCCCTCGGACCCGCAGTCTGCAAGTTCCTCTCTGAATGTCAGCCTCCCTCCTGTCACCAACGCCCAGCACAGGGGAGCAGGCCCCAGAGGCCAGTGCCACACCCCGTGTCAAAGAAGGGGAAACGGAGGTCCGGCACTGAGAGTGACTAGGTTCCCCTCAGGCCCAGAACCCTCAGCAAGGCCCTCTCCTTATGGCCTCAGTGTCTCAGCTATGAAAGGGGCTGACGGATGACCAGCAAACCGTGTGTGTGCAGATGGCCTGCCAGTGAGGACCAGGGCAGGATGTCAGCCACGTGGGTGGTGGGGGGCGGAGGGGGCCGTGAATTCCACCAGGGGCCTTGAATTTGAGCCTGTTCTCCTCTTATTGGAAGGTGGCTGCATGCAGGGTCCTCCAACATGGCTGTCCTAGAGGTGCCCTTGCTGTCGGGTTTGCGGGCAGACATAGAGAGCCTGGAGCAGGTAAGGCGGCTCTGGCAGGCAGAGGCCAGGGGGGTCTCTGGTCGGTGGTCCTGCCCAGAGTGGCAATTCCCAGCACTTCCTAAAATGGGTTGGTTGATGGGTTTTTTCCCCCACTTCTCGTGGGCAGAGTTGGTGCTTTTGGGCTGGCCAT